ATATATACACATGTATGTATATATATATATATACATATATATATATATATCATGAGATTATTTGAGGCATATTTTGAGAATTTGAATGAGGACTTCCCCCAAAAATACCTTTCTTGAGGCTTTCGTATCGCCAGAGGAAACCATCTGACTCCAATCGCCTCGGGGCAACCCAGCTTGAAGCCGTGGGACAGCCTTGGAGCTCTGCAGCACTGTCCCAGTCTCTGCCCTCCACTGATCTGCCGTGATGACAGAAACCATTTGGGCCAGAAACTTCTTTTGAAGTCAGAGACCATTTCTAGTATTTTGATGTATTTTGATGTATTTGGCAAGACAACTACTACCTAATGACCAAAAAATCTGAGTTTCCAGGGTTTCTGAGTTTCTTGAACCAACGCTTTGCTTTAACCTTCCGCAAAACTCACACTTGGTGTGGACAATCCTAGCCATTTTCCACATAGTTTTGAGGATTACGCATGGCCATGGTGAACCGACTACTATGTCACTTTCCAGGAAAACAACTCTAATCCAAACCAAATTCAACACATATATCGTACTAACCATCATATTAACCAACATATCATTGTGTAACCATGTCGTCATTCATTGTTATTCATTTTCACTTCGAATATCATTCACTATAGATGAATTCATGTTCATTCACCCATCATATCATGAACATCCACCGGACCTCTTTGGTCGCAGGGTGCAGATCGTTGCCTCCAGCATCACATTGGGGATGAACATTTAATGGTTTCTATATGCAGTGTATACACATATATATGCATGTATGTAATGTAATGTAATGTAATGTAATGTAATGTAATGTAATGTATGTGTATGTGTATGTGTATGTGTATGTGTATGTGTATGTGTATGTGTATGTGTATGTTTGTATGTTTGTATGTTTGTATGTTTGTAAGTGTGTATGTGTGTATGTGTGTATGTGTGTATGTGTGTGTGCGTGTGTGTATGTGTGTATGTGTGTATGTGTGTATGTGTGTATGTGTGTGTATGTATGTATCTATGTACGTATGTATGTATGTATGTATGTATATATCTATGTATGTATTTATGTAATGAAATGTAATGCAATGCAATGTAATGTATGTAATGCACGTAATGTATGTAATGTATGTAATGCAATGTATGTAATGTATGTAATGTAATGTAATGTAATGTTGTGTATTGTATTGTATTGTATTGTATGTATGTGTGTATGGCTGTCTGTCTGTATGTATGTATGTATGTATGTAATGCAATGCAATGCAATGCAATGCAATGCATGTATGTATCTATGTCTATGTATGTATGTAATGCAATGCAATGCAATGGAATGGAATGTAATGTATGTAATGTATGTAATGTATGTCATGTAAATCATGTATGTCATGTATGTCATGTATGTCATGTAATGTAATGTAATGTAATGTAATGTAATGTATGTAATGTAATGTATGTAATGTAATGTAATGTAATGTAATGTAATGTAACGCATGTATGTACTTAACATACTTATCATAATCTATCATGAACATTTCCTATCACTATCATTATCATTTACCATCTATATTTATCATATACTATCTATATTTATCTATATTTATCTATATTTATCTATATTTACCTATATTTATCTATATTTATCTATGTTCACCCCGCTTCGCGTGGGGTGGCCGCCCACACCGCAGGTTTATTTCGGTCCGTGAGAGGGGCTAAGGGTGGTTTTCCCCCGTGGGGGCTCCCCAAGCTAAGAATTTCCACTTTCCCCCCCCGTGGGGGCTCCCCAAGCTAGGGAATTTTCACTTTTCCCCCCCGTGGGGGCTCCCCAAGCTAGGGAATTTTCACTTTTCCCCCCCGTGAGGGCTCCCCAAGCTAGGGAATTTTCACTTTTTCCACCCCCTAAAGGCTCCCCAAGCTAGGGAATTTGCACTTTTCCCCCCCGTCAGGGCTTCCCAAGCTAGGGAATTTTCACTTTTCCGCGCCGTGACAGCTTCCCAAGCTATGGAATTTTCACTTTTCCCTCCCTTGGAGGCTCTCCAAGCTGCGGAATTTCAAATAGCTAGACAACGACGCCTAGATAGTCCCCCAAATCCCGTGTTCTTTGAATGTGTTTCCATGTTTTTGCAATGGTTTCCCTCAAAGCACGGTACTTTACACTTTTGTCGCCATAAAACCGGTCGAAAACATCATGTTCGACAATGCTTCCAATTCCCTTATCTCCCCAACCGTTGAAAATACCGCTATTTACAGTGTTTTCTTCAATTTTTCCATGTGCCAATGCCAGTAGCCAACTCCAACATATATATATATATATATTATATATATATAAGAAATCCTTCCAAAACATTGTTTTTGACAGTGTTTTTCCAATGTTTCCAGTCAAAC